CAGAAAAACATCAATGGTGAAAAACATAACATTAATTAATATATAAATATATATATATAAAATTATTAAAAATATATTTTTTAAATATATGATTAAAAAATTATAAATTAATGTTTAATAATAATAGTAAGTGAAAAGGCATTACTGGTTGTTGTTTTTTTTTAAATTGAATTGTAGTGTTACCTGTGACAAAATTATTTCTCTGTATTCAGGTTTGACTGTAGAAATAATGCAAAAACGTTTACACTTCACATCAAATTTATTGAATTTTATATTTTTATAGAATTTTTATAAACCATGGCAAAAAGTATTATTTGAAAAATATTTTCAAAAAAATGTGAAAAAAAAAAATTCAAAAAAATACATTCAAATTTCAAAAAAATACATTCAAATCCACATCTAAAAAGTAAGTAATTTTGTCCAAAAACAACTAGAGAAGCATCAAGCATCTCCATAGAGAGCTATACAGGCATCTAGTGGTTACACCATGAAATGACACGTTTCATTTTATTTTTCTCTCAACAGATGGCGCTAATCTAAATTCAAATATTGGATTTAAAAGGTCCAAAATCAAAGGAAATACGTGTTGGGTAAACAATAAATAGTAGTAGAGATGACCAATACATCGAGCGAACATTAAGGAGTCGATCTGATTAATAAAGAACATATAATGGACTTGCCAATGATAGCATTTAACCACTTTAATTCGTGTGAATTAGTACAAATGCGCCTGGACATGCGATTTCACACATTTCACGTATCATATATTTCACATACCTATCTGCCGACGTCATAGTAGCCAGCGATTTTAGAACGCACTATGACGTAGTTTTTCATTGTCGGATTAACAGCGAGACATTTGGAGACAGAGTTTATGCGAGGAGAAAGTGGCTTTTAAGGAGTTTTTATTGGTTGGAGCTTTCTTCTTGGATAACGTTAACTTTTCAGTAACGTTAGACTTTGTTTTGAGATGGCTCACATTGGTGACAGACAAGGTAAGTGTTTTAATTTTTCATTTGTTTAATATTGAGATGATAGTATCATGTTGTTAGAATGTTTGATTAAACTAACAAACAAATGTGTGCAAGTTAACCAATTTAATCTCAAATTGTCCCTGCTAAATAAGCATGTAGCGGGGCACAACCTAACGCATTTTGGTTTGGGCTCAATTAATTAAAAAATAATTAGGTTAGATTAGTTTTTTTTTTTTTTTTTTTTACACAAGCAACATACACATCTCTGCTACAAATGAACACTTAAAGTTTTTTTCGTACAGTTGTACTGAAAGTGACAGAAGTGCAAATGTTAGAAACCAATTCAGTGCTAAGTTTGATATTGTTTGTGCATCTGTAGGTAGATATCCATACATCCATCCCTCATCCAATCATCCTTCTATTGTGGATCAATATCATAAATAGAGACATAGAAAAGGGCTGGACAGTTTTGCAATAAATAATAATAAATAAAATCATAAAATATTGTAATTGCAATTGAATTAGATTTGTGTGTGGCAGCTGCATGTACAATTATTATTAATAATAATAATAATAACAGTAATAATAATACAAATGAGCTTTAAATAAAAAATGTAAGGGTTTATTGCATTAAAAACAGGCCATATTTTTAAATAAATAAACAGTGGTCAATGCATAGTAAACTAAATTTTAAACATTTTAAATTCCAACATTGTTTGAGAAAGTCCACCAAAGTTAAAATGTATACTCAAACCTGAAAAATTGTGTCTCCCTGTTTTCATTTGATTATCATTGTACAACGGCGGCTTGTTTGTAACACTGTGTTACAACTTACCCCGCGGTGTATTACATATTTTAAGTCCAGCTAACAGTCGCTAGGAACAGTGCTACTGTATGTTTGAGCCAACAAGACAGTGATTAAGGCAATATAAAGTTAGATTTGGAAACGTATACACCCAATTCAGAAACTGAAAAAAAAAAACGTATGATGAAAAAATTTACTTTAATGGTGTCAAAACACTCTTTGTCCAGTATCTTCACGAAATATAATCATAACTTTCCGCAAATTCGCGGGAGACCGTCTTCTGGGAGCAAGAGAAAAATATTGTAAACACAACCTGCTTGATCCTGACGAACTATGTTAAAGGTCCGTGTTACATTTAACCCCGCGTTAGGTTGTGCCCCGCGCTCCCCTACTCCTATAATATGAAAAAAAAAACGGCACTCCTTTTCTTTTTAAGAAATCATTCAAAAGTGAAATATGGATTGAGTCTGTCTGTGTTTGACAGCTGCTTTGCCATAGGGAAGCTGTACGTTAAAAGAACAGCTACTCAGAAATGCCATTGTCATGTAGCTTTACAGTTGCAAGTTTCAATGCGTTTGTGTGTACGTTGCCATCTTTGTGCAAGAAAGAGCGGGAGGAAGAAAGCTTTCCAAGCTTTCAATAAAATGTAATCTCATTGGAAAAAAAGCTAATTGTTTGTTATGTTTATCTTATTTTTTTGTCATATTTGTTTTCTTGGTCGCGTGTCTTTCTGGGCTTTGGTTCATTTGCTGTTGTAGGCTGCAAAAGTACAACCTTTGAAATAACTGAAATATTTTGAGCCACATGTTTTAGTTATGATGTTAAAAATAACAAGAACAAATTTTTAATGTCTTAATTGCTCTTCTTTCAGCCTCAGGCCGCTCCAGATCCAGTGCTGCTTTACCATCTATCCAGATGGCTGGTCTAGAGTTTGGGAGGTTAGACTTTGGTGATGACATTCAGAAACCACTGTCAAAACCAACCAAAGTGGGTCAAAAGGTGTCTGACAATATCGCTCCTCTCCATTCGACTCAAAGGAAGAGGAAGAGATTAGGGCTGAACGATTTTGGAAAATAATCTAATTGCGATTTTTTTAACCAATATTGCGATTGCGATTTAATATGCGATTTAAAAAAAAGTTATTTACCTTCTGTATTAGTCGACAAAGACGAGCAATAAATCATTGTACAGTAGGGATGGGAATCTTTAGATAGCTCATGATCTGATCTACTTTTTTTCTTATTAATTTATCTTAATAACTCTTAAAATATGTATTTAATTACATGTGTAAAAACACATACTTTAAAAAATAAATATAAAAAACATTTAATTAAACCAATTACATGTTAAGAATTTTAAATAGGCTATATAAAATAATATAGCTTCAAAATATAAAAGCTAGTAAATAAAGAGAAACAAAAAAAACATTACAAGCAATAAACAAAGAGTGCTCTCAGTATTTAAAAGTAGGCTGTCTGAATGTTTATCATTCAAGAGCTGGAGTGATTTCCCCTCAGTTTAGATACGATAAGCTGCATTCACACTAATGCATATATCTCTTTTGAAATTGTAAATGTGGTTTGTCCTGTTTGTTTAAGATATAACTGACCGTGTTTTTATTAATTTCGCGTCATAAAAGCATTTTGACATGTACATTTACCAATGAGTCGCTCACGGCCGCATGCACGAGCGCTCTTCACAAAGCACGCGTTAGTAGTATTTTAAAATGAAAGCAGCCTTCTCAGTGATTTTCATCATGGTTTTAATATATAAGCCAACTGCATTCCAAAAGACATAAATAATGCCTCTGTGAAGCATTTGTAAAGAAAATTCCCACGGGAGAGAACGCGCACTGCAAGTGTAACGTTAACATCAAGCAAAGCGGCAAAACCTGTTCAATGAAGCCCGCGAATGTCCTTGTAATTCGGTTCAATCCCGAACTTTATGAAATAACGTTACTATGTTTTGGAAGGTTAGAGCGGTGTCGTGTGTGTGAGTGAGGAAGAGAGAGAGCGATAAAATAGAAGCAAGCAGATTCAGAACACGGTTCGTTTCTAAAGCACGCGCAGCGTCATCACGCATCTGTGTTTAAAAACTAAGCTCAGACTCGATTCTGAAATTCTCTGATCCAGGATTGTGGAGGAGACAATAAATAACACAATATCACTTAAAAATAGACTAAACTCCTCTCTGAACGCCAGATCGCGTAGCGTGGCAAGTTGATGCTTTATTTTGCAGACTGCTTTTCTCTCGCGTGTCACGTGACCAATGTAATCGCAGCTCTTGCGATTACAAAATCGCGTTTCATCATATCGCGATTTTATCGCAAATGCAATTAATCGTTCAGCCCTAGAAGAGATCGGAGGATGAAGATCCCACCACTTCATTCGAGAGATCCACCAAACGCCTGCGTGAAGGTCAGGCTTTCAGACCATTTCGGGTCATAGATGTTATAGTAATGATGTTTAAAATAACAAGAACAATGTAAAACTGTGTGACATAGATTCTTACCTGCTGCTGCTCTTTCTGCCTCAGGCTGCTCCAGTGCTGATTTTACATGGATGGCTGGTCAGGAGTTTGGGAGTTTGGGCTCTGGTTTCCAGATTCAGAAACTACCAAAACCAACCCAATCACAGAGGGAAAAGGTGTCTGGCAGTATCACTCTTCTGCTTTCTGAGTCGACTCAAAGTCAGAGGAAGAGGCCGAGCTCGGAGGATGAAGATCCCACCACTTCATTCGAGAGACCCACCAAACGCTCGTGGGAAGGTCAGGCTTATTCTTAAAACGTACCTGAATTATTTGCACTGAAAATGTTCATCCACTGATTGATCTAAAGTAACATTCGTTTACATTCTTTATGTTGCAGAAGAGTACACAAAGGGTCCATTGCTGGGTCAAGGAGGATTTGGATCTGTGTATGCTGGGACCCGCAGCTCTGATGGATTGCCAGTATGATATTGATTCAACACCCCTTATTCATGATACTGTGGCAGAGCATGAATTAGCAGGTGTCATTAACTGTTGTTTATCTGTGTGCAGGTTGCTATCAAGTACGTCTTTAAAGACGAGGAGCACGAGGAGATAGAAGTTGTAAGTTCAGTTTTGAAATTCGGCTATTTGAAGTTTATTGGTTTGCATGCATATTTATTTAGCCCTCCAACGATAATTTAATAATATCATGTCCTCTTTTGCCACTTCAGGACGGTCAGGGTCTGCTGCCACTGGAGGTGGCATTGATGATCATGGTCAATTCAGCTCCTGCCTGCCCCAATGTCCTGCAGCTCCTGGACTGGTTTGACTATCCGGGCCACTACGTCATGATCCTGGAGCGCCCCGATCCTTGCCAAGATCTGCAGAAATTCTGTGAGGAGAATGATGGCTGTCTGGATGAAAGCCAGACGAAGAAAGTGCTGGTCCAGCTCATCAACGCTCTCAAACACTGCGAGAGCCGCGGGGTTTTCCACCGGGACGTCAAGCCACAAAACCTGCTAATTTCCACCGATTCACATGAGCTCAAGCTGCTGGATTTTGGCTGTGGACACCTGCTGAAGGACTCGGAGTACAAATCGTTTGCAGGTAAATCTTCTTATACATGGATATGTTTGTGATCATCTCTGTTTTGAACCGGAACCTTTTCAGCTGATCTCTTCCTCTTTTTGGATCTCTTAGGCACACTTTCATACACCCCTCCTGAGTGGTTTCGTTCCCACAGCTATCGTGCAGGACCAGCTACTGTTTGGTCACTGGGTGTGACTCTCTACAACCTCCTGTGCGGTTCTGTACCTTTCAAAAGCGCACATAGGATTCGCAGATTGCGCTTCCCTAGTCATCTGTCTGCAGGCAAGTGATAGTAAATATTCAGTTGTTCTCAAAGAGAGATCGAGAAGTTAAAGGGTTAGTTCACCCAAAAATGAAAATTAAGTCATTAATTACTCACCCCCATGCTGTACCAACCCCGTAAGACCTTCGTTCGTCTTCGGAACACAAATGAAGATATTTTTGATTAAATTTGAGAGCTGTATAACTACCACATTGGCTCCTAAGGGACTGCCTCTTGACGGCCCAGAAAGTCAATGAAGAAAATGTTTAAATATCCCAAGTGACTACCGTGGCTCAACTATATGTTTATCAAGCGACGCGAATACTTTTAGACGAGAAACGAGACTTCCTTAGATTTCCACGACGCATGCGCGAGAATTGCGATCTGAAGTAGTGTAAGCTGGTGTAAGCAGATCGCAATTCTCGCGCATGCGTCGTGGAAATCTAAGGAAGTCTCGTTTCTCGTCTAAAAGTATTCGCGTCGCTTGATAAACATATAGTTGAGCCACGGTAGTCACTTGGGATATTTAAACATTTTCTTCATTGACTTTCTGGGCCGTCAAGAGGCAGTCCCTTAGGAGCCAATGTGGTAGTTATACAGCTCTCAAATTTCATCAAAAATATCTTCATTTGTGTTCCGAAGACGAACGAAGGTCTTACGGGGTTGGTACAGCATGGGGGTAAGTAATTAATGACTTAATTTTCATTTTTGGGTGAACTAACCCTTTAATGTTGTGTTACTGATGTCAAGTATTGTGTTGTATGTAACAGATTGCCGCCAGTTGATAAGATGGTGTCTTAGAACAGCAGCGGACGACCGCCCCAGCTTACAGGACATTGAGCAGCATCCCTGGTTACAGTGCACAGGTGTCCAATCACATCACACCTCTCTGAATGATTCTTTGTTCATTGCATTTTACAATTAGGATAAATGTAGACAATTGGTTGTAATTATTCACATAGGCTGAGCTTGAGTGTAGTGCACTGGAACGGCAGAGACAGCTGGACACCTGCAGTTGAAGACGAGTGTAACCTGGACATGAGGCGCTTCGTGATGCGGGATGCTCCGAAACATCAGTATTCATAAAGAGTTGGCGAGAAGTTCCCAGATGACCTACAGCTTCTGCCCAGATTCTGAAGCACCCATCGATGGATGCTTTTCTATCCCAGGAGTGATTGCTAAACTGTTTTGCTCAAAGTGATTGAAAGCAGTGACTTGGAAATCTATAACAGATAAAAACAGGATACATTAATTAAAGGAAATTAATAATTAATTTTAATGAAAAAGCAATTCGATGGCATAAAAAAAAAAAAAAATCGAACCGAATTGGTTTGTAGATTTTGTTCAGCCTCACTGGTAGCTGCTTCAAGTTAAACATTGGCAGCTTTGAGTTCAAGTTCCCTTGTAGTAATTGCAGCTTCCTGACTAAAACCTGAAGAGTTCTGACAAGACGCCAGTGATATGTTATGGCGCCGTTTTATACATAAACAATATTTATATTTAATATTTATATTTAAACAATATGAATGTAAGCCAGAGGAGAACTGGCCCCCGACTGAGCCTGGGTTTTCCCAAGGTTTTTTCTCCATCCAATCTGATGGAGTTTTGGTTCCTTGCCACTGTCGCCTTGCTTTTGGCTTGCTTAGTCGGGGTTACTTAATATTTAATATTTAACAATATTATTGATCTGTGTTGTACTACTTTCATGTTATCACTGTGAAGCTGCTTTGAGACAATCTGTATTGTGAAAAGCGCTATATAAATAAATGTGACTTGACGCCATCTTGAGGAAGAGAAAGACAGAAAGTCTGTTATTTTGACAGAAAAACAAGAAAGAACATACCATAGTCAGAACTGCAAGATATGAACTTGCAAGCCCTGCCTGTGAAACCAGGCCTAGGTTTATTTTTTATTTCATTCGATATTATACCTATTATTATTATTAACGTTCTCTTCATGGAATATCAAATTGTCTAGCCATTATTTAATAAAATACAGCTTTGAAATGATCAATCTCAACATGAAGCTGCCTGAACATAGACGCGACTAAACATTCAAGAGCTCTTAAATTTTCGCGCATTTATTATTTTGGCAGGACAGAGACGGATCTAAAAATACGAGAAAAAAAGGAAGAAAGTAAAGCAATACTAAAAGATAAGGCGAAAGAAAAGGGACCTTACAGGAACAAACTCACACAAAGTGCAAAACAGCTGTATTTGGAGAAGCAGCATCAATATATTTGTTCTTTTGCACTAAAACAGTTTTATTATTTTATTAGTATTACTTATGTTGTCCAAATAGCCTATATATTTCAGTTCTCAATAAATATTGTTAAGCCATATCAAGTTGTTTCAAACATTTATTTCAATGAAATAAAAAAGTAATGAACAAGGCACTTTTGCATATGTTCGTTAAGGCACAGCAAACAGTGAAAATCGTATACTAAAGGCATCAGCAAACCCAGCAATCCGTGTCTCCTCGTCAGATCAGACTCTCCCTGCTGTGTCAATTTTGGTAACCCCAAAAACTTAATTCCATTGTTCCTACGTTTTCCATATGTATCGTGTGAGTTTTTAACGCAGCAGTTACTTCCAGGCATGGTAAAACAGTGCGGTATTGCGAGAAACTCCTCTACTACCAAGCTAAAAACACATGTAATCAATACTGTTTTGCCGTGGGAATCCTACCAACATGGCGTTGGAAAAACGTTATGTTTCAAACATTATGTTAAATGTTTCAAAACGTTAGGCTAGTGGTGCGTCTATGCATTAAAAAAAAATCGATATTTCGTTTCTGAAAATCGATACAGTATTGCAAAATAAAATATCGCGATACTCAAGTGTAACAATTTTTTCTTACACCCCTAGTTATTATCGTAACCTCGGGAAGTATTGCGTAGCTATACGCAGTGAGGGAAACTCCTTTTCCTACATTTACTGAAGCTTATTGTAAAACGCAGCTATGCAATCACAGCCAGCACACTGAGGGCTATAAGGGGGCGTGACCCATTCTTTAAGGGGGCGGCAGTGGCTCAGCTTCTGTAATGCTTCCGTAACCATGTGACAGCTCAAACTGTTTTTTGGACCTTGAACCGTTTGGTTATCAGTAAAGTGCATTATATTGAGAAAAAATATTTTCTGCAATATTTTCTTTAAAATCTTAATTTCTTTTCGACTGAAGAAAGAACGACGTGGACATCTTGGATGACATGGGGGTGAGTAAATTATTTTAATTTACAGCAAAAGTTTTTTTTAAAAGTGAACTAGAACTCTCTTGCAAAGGAGTCACATTTCCAACTAAAACAAAATTAATTGATATACTATAGGGCTGATTGGGGCTGGTTGTCACTTTTTTGCACCGGTGAATATTCCTCAGAATAGGTTTATTTCTGAAATTCAATTTAAAATTCTGTTTTCTGTCTTGCTTCAAAAAACATTATTGCATATTATCACACTACATGGGGTAAGTTGTCACAGTGAGATCCTGCCATTTAAATAACATATTATAGCATTTTTGAAACAGTTAAACAATTGTGAAGTACAAAGTAATTAATGAAACACAATTTTAAAATCACTAGTTTGGCCAATAAAAAAAGATGTCCTAAAAACAGTTTGACTTTTATATTACCAAAATGTTAAGATTAGAGACAGAATTCACAAAAAAAAAAAAAAAAAAAAAAAAAAAAAAACATCCAGCAAAGGTGAACAAATGTTTATGCAACTAGATGTCTGACTCAAACCTGAGCCTGTGACAACTAGCCCCGGTCTCCTATAACTATAGTGACCTTATTATTAAAGATACACCAGCGTTCAATGTGTAATGTGTTTGAGATGGAGGGGACCCAAAGGAAAAGTAACCTTTTGCTTTTTTGTTTTTAGAATGGTTTACATATTTATCTTTGTCAGCTTTTAAAATATTGTGTATCAATTGATGTCATATTTTCATGTCTGCATGTTTGAACACATACATGAATCTGCCGAAATATATATACCACTATCAATTATGAGTGTAAAGTGGTGCTGTTTTCAAGTACTGACATTGTAAAACTACACACATTTAGTCTTCTATTCCAAGTACATGGTGCTCACATTACATATTTTTACAGTGAATATATATATATATATATATATATATTTAAAATACCAAGTCTTATTCTTTATATACCCCAGATATACAAGTGGAAATTATTTTATGATCTTTTGAAATATAGCTGTCTTTGTATTTCTTTTTAAGGTGTAAATATTTTGTAATTTAGTATTATTATTTTTTTACATTTAAATGACCCATTGTCTTTTATATCATACCCGTCTTTTTGATAATAAAAAGCACTTTATTTCTTAAGTCTGTTTCTCACAGTGGTCACTGGTCAGTAATGTAAAGGTGTCTGATGATTAGTGTCATGAATTGCAACAAAAGAGCACTGTCTTGGAGAAAGACAATTAATAAACACTTAAAGGGATAGTTCACTCAGAAATTAAAATTCATAATTACTCACTCTAATTCTATCCCTGACGTAAATGACACCAACGAAAATAAGATGACATCTTATTTTTTTAGAAAATAATCCATTTCTGTGAGTTCGTTCATTTTGGAATTTTCTAAGTTAACGTTACCCTAATAGGCTAGTAATAAATGAACACACATACTAAAATTTTGGACTCGGTCGAGACCAAAAGCCATATTTGGCAAGACCAGTGGCCGAGACCGAGAAAAGTCTGAGTCCAAATACCAGCGTGTCCGAGACAAGTCCGGGACCATAGAAAAACGGTCTCGAGTCCAAGACTGGACTCGAGTACTACAGCCCTGACGCTGATGAAGTATGATGTCTGCATGAGCAGTGTGCGTGGAGCTCAAGGGGCAAACTCCCTGTCTCTCTCGAAGCCAACACGGAAGTGAATTCATTGAGTGGGCGCATGAGGCTGGCTGCAAAAGCGAGTCAAATCTGTATCTCCACCAAGTTAAAATGTCTAACTTCACAGCAGAAAAAAATATGTTTACAGCCTGGTGGCAAATAGTTGTTTTGGTCTATATCGCTAATTTTGCCCTTCATGACGACTGTGACTGGGGTGAATTTTTTTACAACTCATCCGTTTAAATTATATTTAAGCCTTATAGTTCTGCATAATTAAGGGCGTGGCCACTTGAGTGACAGGTGGATTCTTGCCGCCGCTTTCACTGCTTGTCGTTTGTCTGCTGTCTGTTAGCGTCACCCTCAGCTGTGTTTGTGCTTTTTCCGGGATTATTTCATACAATTTAATAGATGTATTATACCTTCGCCCGTGCACGCCGTTGGATTCCGTCGTGTTGAGTATGGAGAGAACAACCAGCGCTGTGTTTCCACCTGTTTCCCTCGCATGCACTAATGGATGTCTGATGATATCAGTGCGTTCTCTCCGTCCATGCAATAGATGCACACCCTTGAATGAGCGTGGATTTCTAATTCATTTACTTTTAGTTCTGAGGTAATATCTTCCCAGACAGCAAACTGACATTGAATCAACGTGGAAACGACGTCTCTCATGACATCGAAACAACGTTGATTTTGCTCATCGAATTAACGTTGAACCAACGTCAGACGTGACATTCTTCAAAGCTAAATGAAAAGCGGAAATTGGTTTGCTTTCATAACGTTGAAACAACGTTGATTTCAAGTTGATTTTCCGCTAGTTTTGAAAGAATGACGCGTCTGACGTCGGTTCAACGTTAATTCGATTAGCAAAACAATGTCAGATCAACGTTGTTTCGATGTCATGTTTCCACGTTGATTCAATGTCAGTTTGCTATCTGGGTCAAACTCAGCGCGTGCAGAGGACATAAACTGAAATGTTACATTATACATATCTAAGTTTCAGCAGATATCCTCAAACAAACATGTCTTAAACATTATAATATTCACCACTGAAGAATAACTAAGCCTTTTATATATCATGCTGTGTTTAATATCAAAGATAAAAACAATCTCTTTTCTCACAACTCCAATCTCATTTCATAACATTTTAGTCTGGCACCAGTTTAACTAGTAGCTA